TCCTGGTCACGTAAGTATCTATCAGTATTTCTGCCGGAGTTCTTTATTTGGTTCACATGAATAACTTTTTAAGGTTGGTTGCTGATGTCTTATCAGCCCAACTGTCAGCTCATACGGAAAATCGACTAACTTCAACTTGTTGGGCTGAAAACGTCTTCAAACGTTTCACTAAACTATTGTTAGACAGATAGAATTCAGAAAGAAAATTACTGACAAATCAAAATTGAGCAACGACTTTCCTTAAAGATAAGAAGATAACTTTTAGAATAATGACTCTTTGTGTCTATTTACAATTTCTCAGAGCAGCTTAATTCTATACTTTTAGACAAGTCCATTCGTTTAATGGTATTTGCGTTAAAAATTACCATTAGCGAGCAAAGTTTGAACACGTTTCTTGAATGAAATATCTTCTTCATTTGTTTTTAGGAAAAAATTGCAAAAAATTAATGGAAAAAGCATTTACTAAGATTTATGTCAATTACAATGCTTCTATGATAGTTTGAGTTCTATATTAGAACTTAAAAACTTGTTTAAAAAAAATTAAAACAAGCTGTTAGCATTACAATCAATCTGAAAATATAAAATTCGATACAAATATATTGCTTTATATTGATAGATTGAAAATAAATTACTATTATGGTCATGAGGTAACTTATTTTAGTTTTGTGTTGATACATTGAACATGAAAACTGATATATCAAATATGAATATACCATTATGTTCATGATTCAATTTTTTACAGTTTTATGTTGATACATTAAAGCTTAAAATGCCCTGATATACCTGAGATAAGCTGTCATGGGTGTGTGTTAATATATTAAAGATGAATATCTCTTGATATTTTTGAGACAAGTATAGCTTTGCATTGATATATTAAAGACGTAAATGTCATTATTCTCATAAAGCAGCTTGTTTTAGTTTTGCGTTGATATATTAAAGATGAAACTGTCGTATCGTTCATGAAGCACGTTTTGTGAGTAAAGATGAGAAGACCATTATGGTGCTCATGGGGCAAATTGTTAGCACTGCGATGATATATTTAAAAAAATACTTTGATAACTTTCATATAACTTGGGATTATTCGTAAACAAAAACAACTAAAGTGATGACGTAAATGTTAACAGCTGACCACAGAACCAGTAGCATGTATCTACTTCTTTGGAGTCGTATAAATATATAAAAAAAATTGAGGCTTGAAAGATTTTTAAACCTAAATTCCTGCCACGAATTTGATTTGATTTATTTTAGCATAATTACATTTGCCAATGTCTAACAGTTGTAAGCTTGAGAGCTTTAGAGCGTTAAGATTTAGGGGTCATTCCCTGCATTGAATACAAAGTAGTCAGTCCATTGTGCAGCACTGTATTTAACAACGAAAAAATAAATAAAATCTTTGGAAATTAAATGTATGTAAAATGGAAGATTGTTTTAAAGGAATCGATCCATTTTGGAATACTTAAAGGTTCAAGTAACTTAATTTATTATAACTATGGAATAATTAATAAAAGGAACGCAATAAAATGACAAAAAATAATTATTTACCACGGAGTAAAACACTAACAGTAATACTACGTTAGCACTGGATCTTTTGAAATATAGAGTTAGGTTTATCAACAGTTAGTTACGCTTTCCATCAAACAGTAATACTACGTTAGCATTGAATATAGAGTTAGGTTTATCAACAGTTAGTTACGCTTTCCATCAAACAGTAATACTACGTTAGCACTGGATCTTTTGAAATATAGAGCTAAGTTTATCAACAGTTAGTTAAGCTTTCCATCAAACAGTAATACTACGTTAGCATTGAATACTTTGAAATATAGAGTTAGGTTTATCAACAGTTAGTTACGCTTTCCATCAAACAGTAATACTACGTTAGCACTGGATCTTTTGAAATATGGAACTAAGTTTATCATCAGTTAGTTACGCTTTCCATCAAACAGTAATACTACGTTAGCATTGAATATTTTGAAATATGAAACTAAGTTTATCATCAGTTAGTTACGCTTTCCATCAAACAGTAATACTACGTTAGCATTGAATATTTTGAAATATAGAGCTAAGTTTATCAACTGTTAGTTACGCTTTCCATCAAACAGTAATACTACATTAGCACTGGATCTTTTGAAATATGGAACAAAGTTTATCAACAGTTAGTTACGGTTTTCATCAAATGATGTGAAACTGAACAAAAAGAAAGAATTCTTTTTTGGAAATTCTAGGAACTTCAATTTTATTAACAAGTAAAGTATGTATATCATACAGCTCTTCAACAATATAACAACATTCGTACATTTTCATATATTTATTTACTACTGCATTTTGTTTCTAAAATAACTAAGAAAATCTGCTAATAGTTGATCTCCTAATATGACTGCATAATACCTATACAACATTATTCTACACCATTTGCATATTGCATGAAAGAAGGCAGATAATCAGGCCTAAAGTTCAAAGTAGAGATCTTCTGTAACCATTGGTATTCTTGGGAGAACAAATACCATTCAAGTCTAACCAGCACCTTTATTTCGAAGGGTTTATTATCAAAAAATAATCGCTAAAATAAATATATATCTATAATATATCTATAACGCAAGGACTGAAGCTGCCTCTTATCCACTACTGTAAATAAAAAACCTGCCATCACGCATGTTATAACGCTATTAAGATATAATACATTACTTAGTCTGATTAAACTCACAGATTTTCCTAGCTACACTTTTCTAACACGAAGATTGAAAGAAGTAAGTTTTCTATTCTAATTAGCTCGTTTTTTTCTCTTTCATTATAAAGTATACAACAACCGTTGGTCTCGTAGTGAACACCCTCAAACTAACAGTGGAATTAGAGTTGGAATATTCCATTATTAGGCTTATTCAGGAATCCGAGAACAGATGTTGGGAGACACTATCACTCAACACAAACAAAACTGGTGTATACTGTCGTGTTAATGACATTATAAACCAAGGGTAAGACCGGACCGTGCACAAACAAAACTGGTACTTACTGTCGTGTTGAAATTACATTATAAATTTAGGGTAATACTGGATATTTACTGTTGTGTCAATGACATTCTAGTATTTTGGAAGAAAGACAGATTTATATTATACATGCTATCATACGAGTAAATGCACGCATATTAAAAATAAAGAGAACAAGCTTATAAGTCGAAGTCTCTTGAAGTAGAAATATATTTTAAGCAATGAGTCTTCACAGTTTTGCTGTCTTGTATGTACATAACAAATAAGAAACAAAGGGCAGAAAACAACTTACAAAAAACAATTCATAGAAAGGGAGTATCCAAATGTGTTTATAAGAACATTTACATAAACGCATTTATAATAATTTTGCTATACAATTGAAGTTGTAAGCAAAACACGAATACTATATAGACAATCAACATAAGTTTAAGATTAAGTTGACTGGACAAATATATATAATTATTCAGATTATCTCATAAATATGTAAAGAAGATAACTTTGGAGAAGTTTGTTGGGAAAATTTGCTAATCGCCCACAGACGTGTCGGGCCAATTAATCGAATCAAATTGACACCTAGTGTAGGACTGCAGAAGCTCTTTCGGATGTTTTAAAATCGGAGCTACGTTATTCTATGAGCTCAATTTTGAAATGTATAAAAAAAAACATCAATAAAGGGATCCATGTAAAGACTATGCATGTTTAGATACATACCTGATTCTGAGTCATAAAAAAAACGTTCGTGATTTCGCTAAATTTTGATACCTACTTCGAACACCTTATACAATGACTTAGTTCGAAAGATTAATTTTGTCCTCAGTAATCTTGTTTTCATGTGTAATTCTGTAAAGATTAAATTATACAGAAATACATTTCGTTAATTCATACTTACCTTTTTTTATTAGATTTACAGCCACATTAATTCTCTAATCAGCATTTTCTCTCTTGGAAGGTATTACTCAACATAGAATTTCGTAATCCTTTAGAACATTTAACAACAAGAGAAGTTAAAAAAACTATTTTTACACAAACGACTCTAACGTTACGGCTTATGCCAAGTCGTAAACTTTTGATTTTGTCGGGTATGATGATATAGTCGCGAATATTTAATATAAGATTATTTTACTGACAACACGAGATGTGATTTACGTCAGGTTGGTTAACTCGTTGTTTCCTTTTCTACTAATTAATGTGCATTTGGCTTTTATCGAATACATGAGCGTATCTGTGTGTTAATTTTATCTTAACAAACTCTGTAAGTGATTTTAAATCATCATGTTCAAAAGTTAAGAAATAAATTAAGAAAGTATTTTGATTCCCTTTAAGTCACAGTTCTCTTAAGCCTTTGTTTATGGAGTAAACGAAGCTATTAATTCGGCAAGAAAACAACATTTTAAATTATGATGTTCAAAAGGTAAGAAATAAATTAAGAAAGTATTTTGACTAATTTTATTTCGTATTTCTCTTAAGCCTTTGATTATGGAGTAAAAGAAGCTACTAATACAGGAAGGAAACAACATTGTGTACAGTAAGATTAGTATTTTTTGGTATTAATCTTAATTCTTATTGAATTATGTGAACGTAGCTAATTAGAGGTTAATGAGACTATGTTTATATTTTATATTTTAGAATTTGATGTCTAATTGGGAAAATAATACACATTTACTTTTGTCTGGTAAACTTTGCTTTGTCGAGAACATATCGAACAGTAAGAATCTGTTCATTATATGATAAGTGTTTAGTGCAGTTTAATGTTTAGGAAGATTTGCCATTGGAACCAAGGAAAAATCACACGTTCACACTGACTAATGTTGGAATTTTATTGCGAATTTATTGATGCTTTAATTACGAAGGGCGCTATTTGTCGTTACAAACTTTTATAATAAATTTGTTTGTTTTTGAATTTCACGCAAAGCTACACAACTCTTGGGCTACTCTTTTACGAACAAATAGTCGGAATGACCGTCACATTATAACGCCCTCACGGCTGAAAGGGCGAGCATGTTTGGTGGGATGGGGATTCGAACCTGCGAACGACCCTCAGATTGCGAGTCAAGCGCCCTGACCACCTGGCCATTCCGGGCCTTTATAATAAAACCTGATGCTGTAAGTAATTGTTTTTATTTCTCAAATATTATTTATTTATGTCAACCACTTAATTTTCTTTTGCGTTTAACAGTCTCATAAAGCCGACGATACTTCAAAATTTTGACACGAAAAAAAGAAAAATCATATGAAAAGTAGTATATAATTACCACAAATTACTGTAATTGAAAAAAAACGCTTATTCTGAATCCACCTGGGGTTTAAAAATCAGACAGATAAATAAATAGAAATTAAACACGCCAATTAAAAAACGGAGCCATTGCACAGTGGTTTTAAACATCCAAAGTATTTTGTTTAGCATATTTTTTTATAACAACACTGGACTATATTAGCCACCTCTAAATCTACACTAATACAATTACCAACCTAGATCTGCTTGGGGCCTACCTCTAAATCTACACTAATACAATTACCAACCTATATGCTTGGGGCCTATGTTTTAGCAACCACCTCTAAATCTACACTAATACAATTACCAACCTAGATCTGCTTGGGGCTAAGTTTTAGCAACTCTATTACAGTGAGAATACTTTTTTTGAAGACATGTTCCGCCATAACTTTCAAGAGATGAGTTATTGCGTATTTTTTATATCACGGCCTTATTTTGTATTGTAAAAAAAAACATAATGAGGTTGGATGGAACTGTGTGAATCATTATGTAAATGTGATTTCTGCACTATGAACAACAAACAAACTTTCAAGTATGTCAAACAAGTGAGTGCTTCTGAATTATGTATACTGTCTCTTGATATTTGTATTGCGTTACATTAAGTGTTTTTGAAAATTATGTTACTCGAAGAGATAGAGTAGTTTGTGTGAATAATCTTACTGAAACACAGTGGATGATGTAGAAAATAAACGTCTGAAATACAAAATAACCACAAAAATATTAATACTTTATAAATTATTTTCTTCCAACAAAAAGTGAAAAAAAAAACAAGTATAAAATTCCACGGACGATTTATAGCCTTAACATTTCATTTAGGGTGGCACTGACTGACTGATAGCACATTTTTCAACGAACTTTTTCTAATCCTACTGAAGTGTAAATCGTCAAAAAACCAGACACTTTTTAGTGTCACATTACCAGTTTTAAGGGTGTAGAGTTTATTCTACACGTGTTTCTTGGCTTAATAATATTTAACATTTACTCAATTGAAATCTCCAAATTGAGCACAAGTCCACCATTTAAGTATCAAAAAGCACCAATTCAAACCGCCATCCCTATAATTAAACCACTCAGTTTCCAAGTAGGGCCATGTTTGAAATTATCTGATATCATTAAAAATATAACACTACGTCCGAAGACATTACTCCAATGTTTATGACAATCCTGAATAGCATTCGCGACAGCCATTGTGATTATTACATTATTGCTTGGTCAAAACTTATTTGTTGACAAAAGAATCTGGGCAAGTTGATCACAGGGAATCAGGTCCTTGATAAGAGCGTTTCTGGACCAGTGGAGCAGCGTAAGAAAGAGACACTGACTTTTAGACAGATATTTCTCATTTGTTAGAAAATGGTTCACAAATAGCTAATTTTAGGGGATAAAGTTATTTCAACTTAATAAAAATGATTCACTTATTTTGTGGTAATTTAGGGTTGTGGAAAAATAATACAAAGGTGCTCTATTTTAAGATAAACTTAGATTCATTTTCTTAGTAACTATAAGAAAATGCATTTGCAATAGTGAAGGGAAGTGGAAGTTATTAATAAATTTGTCAGAAACTGAAAAACGAAAGATCAGGGATTAATTATCGTTTAATTTTCGCATGCACTTTCTTCTTGGTGTATCGGTCCGCGACATTCTAGTTTGTTGTAAAGTGCTGGAAGATTTACAATTTTTACAGTAATCCAGATGTCGCTGGTACCGAGGAATCGCTGCCCCACATTCCTCGAGTCAGTATCTTTCCGAATCGTCCGTAATCAGTATCTGGGTCTCGGGGATGCTGTTTAGACTAGTAGGAGTGAGGCTGGTGCTGTGATAACCAGTCACTGTGCTGGTGCTTTCTTGGGTTGGCGATAGAGGAAGTCTCTTGACCGGAAGTGGATGAAATCTCAATGATTCGTTTGATGGCGTTGTGGCATTGCTGGAAGACTGGGCCAAGGTGTAAAGGGAATCACCGGAAGTGCTGGAAGTTGCAAATCGAGGTTGTTTGACAAACGTGGTTTGTTGTCTGGTGCAAAAGACTCGAATAAAGCAGAGTATTGAGCCCAATCCAATGAACAGCAGCCCAATGTTTTGTGCAGAAGGCAGACTAACGCCAACCCCGATAAATGCCAGCACCAAGCCCGCTACAATCAACACTGCTCCTGCATAGACAATAAGCTGCAGCCTTTGCTGCTCTGCTTCGTAACTTTCCCGGCAGTAGCGGTGATAAGGAATTCCTATTTGATTTTCCGAAGAGGGCAAGGTGCTGATTGTGCTAACACTCTGCGTTGGAGTGCGTCTCGACTGGCGGGAAGTAGTACGTGAGCTTGCAAGGGACGACAAGTTGCTTTGCTGACTAGATGATGCAGATATTTGTCGGTTCTTCATCTTCTTCCGCTCCCGCCGGACGGCAACAGCTGGCATGGCCGAAATCATGCTGGAAGGTTTTTTGTGTTGTTTCTGCAATAAAAAAAGAAAGAAAATGAGTTACAAGAGGTACTTACACTTCTGTTTACAACCAGCTAAGTGCTTCCAAGAAAGAAAGAAAAAAAAAGAGTTGATCAACTTATTACAATAGCCTCAAACAATTTATCCTTGTTTAAACGTTTCTTGAAATAAATTTATAAAAGAAATTACAGTGAAATTCATACAAAATAACGTTACATTCTGTCAATAGTTGTATGTTTGTTTGAAGTTAACCACAAAGTTATACAATGAGCTATTTGTGCTCTGCCCATCACGGGTATCGAAACCCGGTTTCTAGCGTTGTACTCCGCAGACATACCGCTGTGCCACTAGGGGGGCTGTCAATACAGACAAAGAATTCCCTTACGCTCACTAAACTATATATATAGTTATGTTTATTATTCGTGGTGATATTTTCGTCAAACGCTAGAGGGTGTCTATATGAAAAATCAATCTTTGATCCTCGTAGGAGCTAGCTCACATGAAAGGATCTCAATAAAGCCGACATTTTTTGTGTATGTTAGGTCCCCCAGTAGCTCAACTGTAAGCGTGAAGGCGTTATGCTTAAATTCGGAGTTCGATGTCTGCAAGTACCCAGTTATAGCTACGCATTGAGAACACACAAAACTGTGTGTTAGCAGAACATATAAAATACAAATAAATATTACTTTGTACCAAATTGAGAAATAAAAACGGAATCTCATATTTGGTCCCTCCATGGATCAGCAGTAAATTTACGGACTTAACATGACTAGAAGTCAGGTCTCGATTTTCCTCCTTGTTACAGTGGACAGAGTACAGATTGTCCATTGTGTAACGTTGTACTAAAACAAATTCATATGAGCACTACTTGATACAGCATATGGTTTTATTTTTTACTGAAATAGCTATATATATATATATATATATTTTTTCATTCGTTATGTTTGTTTGTTGTTGTTTTTGTGCAAAGCTACATAATAGGCTATTTACGCTCTGTACCCCTTGGGGAACGAATCCCGGTTTTAGCGTTGAAAGCTCGTAAACGTACCTTTGATCCTCTAGAGAAATGCTCATTATGTTTGAAAACTTCAATTTCATACAAAGTTTAACCTATAAGGTGAAGATTAATGTGAAAAACAATGGAATTATCTCTCCTTAGTCAATCACACCCGTATAAAATATCATTCCTTTTTTAGTTTTTTAAAATTAAGTGTTAATCAAACAAAAAAAAATCATTTTTAATTTTGAGTATGATTGCTATATCACGTTATGGTAGGTACTAAGACCAAAGAAGTATATCCCAGACATGGTAGGTACTAAGACCAAAGAAGTATATCCCAGACATGGTAGGTACTAAGACCAAAGAAGTATATCCCAGACATACGTTTGTCTTTAAGTTCCAATAGGAATCAATTAAGTGACAATATAGAACATTAAATGTTTGTTTGTTTGTAGTAGTTAAACATAAAGCTACTCAATGGGCTATATGTGCTGTGCCCACTACGGGTATCGGAAGTCCGCAGACTTACCGCTAAACCACTGGGTTCTTAACATTAAAATTTAAGTAAAAAAAGCCGATATGAGAAAAACGACTCCAGGACTGGGAATTTAACCCAGAAACTTTGGCTATCACTGTTTTTTTTTCATTGTTTCCTATTGCGATTTAAAAATAAACGCAAGTATGGAGTAGACCTCTTATCATTTATTAATTATGACATTTTATATAAGCGCAATGCTCTTCTTACCTTTTTATATAGGAGAATTAATGAAAAATAAGTGGTAACATTAAGTACTTTCTTTGTAACACTAATTTTATTATTTACTAAAAGACACAGAGGAAAACGAATTTGATAAGCATGAAAATAAAATTGTAGTGTTTGAGTTTTACCGTGCGATTTTCTGTTATTTTTCAATAGTTACAATGTAGTTCTTACTATAACCAAAGACTAACCCCAAGTTAATCATGTTTCCATCTGAGCAATAAATACCTGACCGAAAGCAAAACGTTTTGCTCAGAGACAAAAATAGATCCTAGGAAAAATAATCCAAAAAAGGATTTAACTAGCCTAAGTAATCAACTCGAGCTGATATAATTGTTTGTCATTGTATCGTATAAGGTTTGAAAGAAGGGAATGAAAGAACCTTAGATATATCCTGCATATACATCAAATTGTATTCTTCATAGAATGAAATTAAGAGCAATAATTTATTTAATGAAATTTTAAAAGTGTTTATAAAGCAAGTGATTTTACAGCCACACACATTAGTTAAAGATAGCTCACCGTTTTGTGAAGTTAGAAAATCGAAATCGGAAGAGATTCAGCACACAGTTCTTCGAAAGTGGTAGATATTTCACTCAACTAACATACAACATTTCGAACACCTAACCTCTCATTTATATATTCTATAATTTATTAAAGACGAACTTTGGCAGGACATTGAGCTATGCAAATCGGCTTGCAAAGCCAAGAATGTGGTTACTGTCATTCGTGACTTGTATAAGTTGTCAACAATATCTTCAAGTTTAGGCTTAGCCAGAAATACCTGTAACAGCAAGGTTATTCTACTAATGAACCAATGCTTTCTAATCATTATACATTTCTGACATTGAATACTCCTAGTTAGACCAGTATATTAAATTAATACATTACTTACTGGGTTAATATTTAGTTCTGATTTATGAATGTAGTTTGTTTTGAGCCGAAAGAAGTTAACGACAACTAGATTTAATACTATTTTGTAATAAAATGGCGTCAGAAATTATAGCTATGATGTTTTCAATATCTGTCAGAAAGACAGTTCATTTTAAACTTTATACACGAACTGTATGTTTTTCACACATATATATTCAGTTGTAAATAAGTCCTAAAGTGTTCCACTATAGAATAACAGAAAAAAAATCCCTAGCACTTTATTTAGAAACTAGTTTCATAATTGTATGCATCAAAGCTGCTTAAAAATACACATTATGAAAAAAAATCCTTAGCACTTTATTTAGAAACTAGTTTCATAATTGTATGCATCAAAGCTGCTTAAAAATACATATTATGAAAAAAAATCATTTTTCTCGTGGAGGGATTACTCGAATAAATTGTAAAGGCAATATTTTTTTTTGCTTTTCAAAATAATAAGGAATGTTCTATTTAATGATCTCATATACAAAAAAATGTACACAGGTTTTTGGGAATTTCTTCTACATCCCAAAGATAGTTTAATCTTGCATCAATGTTATATTTACAAACGTGAGATTCTGTAATTATTCTTTTTTTCAAACAATCGCTCTAAAGTTTCACGAATGAAAGCAATTAATTGAATCTGAAAGATAGTTAGTTTCTAAGTAGTTATAAAAATATCCCCTGGCAGTCAAGTTTGGTTTTAGTCCTAATCGCGTTTTCTTTTTTTATCTTAGCATCTCTGTCAAATATCAAAACAAAATAATATAAAACGCCTTCTAATGAATATCTTTGTAATTTTTTTTTCCATATTCATTTGAGTGTATGTTAAATTTTCGTATCAATGTGTATTTACTGTACAAAATAGTTTGGACAGTTATTAAGTTTTCCTTTTAATTTTCATAGGATGTTTTGCGTTAAATATATTAAAAATCTTCTTAACCAGCATACTTCTAGTTTAGTTAATATAAATGTGAGTAAAAACTCAAATGATGGGTTAATTCTACTCCGTAGAGATTCTTTAAAGTATCTGTTTTCTATTAGACGACACTTACGCCACCCGCTGGCTACATGTGCATTCTATACATAAGGTAACTTTTATTTCTGTTTCATCTTATAAAATCAAAAAAGTACTAAAATGTTTTGGTTCAGTATTTCCCAACATGCTACGCGTTTTGAGAGGTTTTGTATTCAATAATTCTCAAAAGATGCTGCTCATCGAAGCGATTTTGTTAAATGAATTCGATACGCTTGTAGCAACATGAACCTTCTTTTAGGATACGAATATCAGCACCTGCAAAACCAATGGTATTGTCCGAAATACTCACAATACTATCACTCCTCTGACATACAAATCTCTACCGAGCATGTACCCTATCGAGCACGGAAAAGGCGAAGCTACCAAGTGTTAAAGGCTCTGTTTCTTCTCAGTCTTGTGTTTGTGTTGTAATGCAGTTTGATATAATCGATGTCAAATTTATGACGAGTCTGTTCGTTTTACTTTCCAATGCACTGTACTATGTAAACTTTAGCGCCCAGTGAAATATAATGTTAAAATTCCAGGGTAGTCTCCATTGTGCAGCTTGCGCTTAACAACAAACGAAATTAGCGAGATGATACATGTTTAATTCCACTAATGCCAACTTTTCCTCTCCTGTTTAATAGAAAGTTAAAACATAGAAACGTAACTCGCCTCCTATGGCTCAACTGTAAAACTGAAGGCTTATTATGTTAAAAATCGACTTTCCATACCAGCGGTGAGCAGAGAAAAGATAACACATTTTGTAGCTCTTTGGTTAAGCAAACAAACACAGCTTAGTAGGGAAAACACAGTCCTATGATAAATATAATTTACTTGTTCGCCCACTTAGTTTATTTTGAGCAGTTTTCATACCATATTATTCTCAATTAGATTAAAAGATTTAGATTTCGTCATCAGAAAATATATTAAACAATCTTCACTGATAATGGAAAAGATCACGAAATAACAAGTATTTTCGGTATGACTGATAAACATTTTAAATCTTTACAAAAAAATATACATATAATTTATAATTATTTTTGTTATCCTTCAGTAAAGGTATCAAATAATTGCTTGTCAATGTTGCCTCGCCACTTTTCTTAACTGGTTTGTGCATTAAGCTATTTTCATGCTAGAGAGACAGAGTTATTAAGGATTTCAGCTTTAGCTTTAAACTTACAAAAAAATCTAATATAGATATATATATATATAAGAGAACTAGTAATTAATTTTAATTTCATTTAACCTAAAAATTTAAAAATTAATTCTAATTCCACTAATCCGATACAGTTTTCACTGGTATGTTGGTGGATAAATCA